TAATTGTTCGCTGTTATTGTTAAATGATTGATAAGTCTGGCGGCTTCTCCACGTAGTCTTCCTTTTAAGTACTGCATCCTTTCTACATCCACTAGATTATGGTTTTGTTGAACTAACCGGTCGAACAATTCCCAAAATGGACACCACTCTTCAAATCTGCCGCTGAATATTGGTACATTCAACGGTGGTAGTTTGATATTGTTACTTACCGTTGTTCTAGGTTCTGCAACGTTTTGACTGCGAACGTTCAGTTCTGCTTGTAACTGGATATATACTTCTTCGTATATCGATTCCAGTTGAATGAAATCTCCTTGGTCTATTTCATCATTGTTAAACAGACATTCATCGTTTAATTGTGAGATCTTTGCCCAACAATTCTTCAATTTTTCCAATTTGAACTGTAACGTTTCAATACTTTTCGTTAAGTCTATTGTCTCTTTGATCTGCAACAGACTTGTACTTAAGATTGCTAAACGTTTGTTCGTAATATCACATGGCCTGGTGATGGCGACTTCGTCATTGATACTTATGTCTTGATTCCTTGGTGACCGAGCTTCTTCTTGCCCTCTTATAACTTGATGCCTTGAAACTTGAGCTTCCTTTTGCTCCATTTGTCTTATTATTTCCAATTCATTATTAAATCGATTTTCGATTTCATTCCGTCTTTGTTGTAACTGGCCATAGTAATTTTTTGTGATATATTCATGATCAGGCTTCAAATTCTTGATCAGATTATCATTGTTGTCTTCAAATGCATCCCATTTCTGACGCAAATTTTCCAAACGTGTCTCAAAATACTGCTTTGAATATCTTGTAGAAGAATCCTTTTTAAAATTTATCCAGATCCTCTGGATCTCACCTTCAATGTCCTTTTGATGTTGGATAACTTGTTCGATCTCCATGATGTCCTCTGTTAGTATTTGATTTGATTTGTTGAGTGCCTCGGTACGCTTCTGCTTGTTTCACTTCGATGGTACCTTTGCATTCACTTCACTCCGATGTTAAAAGCCTCGGTACGCTTGTATTAACTTCACTCCGATGTTAAAAGCCTCGGTACGCTTGTATAAACTTCACTCCGATGTTGAAAGCCTCGGTATGCTTGTATTAACTTCACTCCGATGTTAAAAGCCTCGGTACGCTTGTATTAACTTCACTCCGATGTTGAAAGCCTCGGTACGCTTGTATTAACTTCACTCCGATGTTAAAAGCCTCGGTACGCTTGTATTAACTTCACTCTGATGTTAAAAGCCTCGGTACGCTTGTATTAACTTCACTCCGATGTTAGAAACCTCGGTACGTTTGTATTAACTTCAATCTTAGACTTTAAGTCTCTTTGTTAGGTATATTTGAAACTCTTACCACTGGTGGGGGAAATTTCAAATATCCGGCTCGAAGGACCAAAAATGAACAAGAATGTTCATTAACAATCTTTATGTCCCTTACCACTGGTGGGGGGAAACAATAAATGATTGGTGAGACGTTGATTTACTTTCAACAACTGATTTTATTTAAATTGATTTGTTCTTTTATACAAAATAAAATGCAACCGTAATTGCAAAACATACAATAAATAAAATAACTTATTGCTTAATTCGCACAAATTGCTTAATAAGCAATAGTTGCGAATGCTTTACTTATGACCTAATTTTTACTTTTTGTTGATTCGTCAACCAAGAAATTAAGCAACAGGTGTGAGCGATTAACTCATGACCTAGTTCTTAATTTTTGTTGATTCGTCAACAACTCCTAACCAAATTGGACTTGATGGTCAAGCATTATAACTGCTACGTTAGCCAAATATATAGTAATGCCGAGGTTTTGATATCGCTATTTTAAACATATTATAGAATAGGTTTCTATGGCATACTTACTTGCCAGAAATATTGTTGAAGGTATTCCTATTGGAACAGCTATAGCTAGTCTGAGGTCGTTAGTACTTTCTCCGGTTTCAAGTTCTGGTTTATCACTAGGTAGTCAATTGTAATGCCGAGGTTTTGGTATCGACGTTTTAAACATAGGTTCCAATGACATACTTCTTGCCAGAAACATAGTTGAAGATATTCCTTTTGGAACAGCTATAGCTAGTCTGAGCTAGTCTTAGTACATTCTCCGTATTCAAGTTCTGGCCTATCACTGAATCAGTTAAGATAGTCAACACACTGTATGAAAAGAATATAGATTTCAGATATTATTTTTTTTATATTTTTTTATTTTATTTATTTTAGAATCGAATATTAAATTTTCATTTCAATACATCATTTTATTGAAACGTATATATTTAATTACAATTCACAATTTTTTATCTTAAATATATGACATTGCAGAAATATAAGGGAAACAATTATATTTTTAAATTTCAAGTTTGTTCGTTTGTGTTGGACACGTTTTATCACTATAACTAATTAGCTAAATTGTTGCTTGTTTTTAAATTATTTATATTAAATAACTTAGTTTTTTTTTCTAAAACACTGTAGTTTTATTATAAGCTAACATATAGATTATTGATTTTGTTTAGAAAAAAATGAACGTAAAGGCAATTCCAGTTTAAATATTTATAAAAATATATATGCTTTCAAATAAGAATTTGATTAAATTAATAACAAATTTTTCTTCGTCTTACATGAAGTTTTTTCTATGTTTATTTATTTAATAGAAATATTCATTTAAAAAATAAAAGTTGTAAATACTGTATTTAATACCAATTAAGAATATTATGCTTCATGCAGATTTGTTTAACAAATATATCGTATATACGTATATATTATTATATACGGGTTTATTAAAAAACCATTTAATATAAAGTTGTTAAAAAAATATTTATATGAATTTATAACTTCTTTAGTAAAAATATTGTTTCTAAGTTTTAATTAAATTAAGTTCCGTTTAAAAATTAATTTAATTTAATATAAAAATTTTGATGATTTTAATCAAAATTAATTATTAATAACAGTAATCAAAAATTGAATTGTTTAAATAATAATATTAAGTTATTGCTTTCAATATATATAAACATAAAGTTTAGAGAGCAATAAATAAATGTGGCTTGTTCCTTTGACACAAGTAGTAATAATGTTACTCTGTTCTGACATTTCCATTTAAATTTTTAATATTATTTTACAGACTTCTTAAGTACAATCATGGTGGAAAGGTTTAATTATACTAATAGGAATCCAAATAAATTTAATTTAATTTTATTTTGTATTTTTTATTATTTTAAGTAAAATAGTTTAAAAAATAGTTTTCTTCAATAGATTAAATTTATATTTTACTATTTATTCATTGTTTAAATATCTAATTTAATGTATTATTTTCTATTAGCTATTCTTCAAAAACCTTTAAAGCTCAATATATTATCTATACTTTCTATAAATTTTATGTTTTCAAAAACCTCTTTCCAATACAACTCATCATTTTTCATTACAAACATTTTCTTTAAGGTACACTGAGCATTGATTATGTCTTTTCTTTTGATTTGATTTTAAAAAATTTATATTAATTTTTGCATTAAATGCGTTTCAAAATTTGTCATGTTCGCTAATAATTTTTATAGTATATTTAATTACTTAATTTACTAAATAAATTTATTTAAGTTTTGTTTATGCAATATGGACTTAATATTGTAGAGTAAATATATCAAACTAATTTATATTTTATTTGTTTACAAAAAGATTGCAAGATTTGTCTTTTTTCTATTTTATTGTAAATCATAGTTACTTACTTGAACAATATTTTTTAAAACCATTTAAGTTTATTTTAAGTTTTTTTAATTATTGTTCCCAACCTGATAAGTACAATCACATCACAAGCAAAATTTGCTTAAAGCGCTGAGTTTGTTAAGTTTCATAAATTATTCGTTTTCGAATTTTGTTTCAAATTTAACAATATAAGTACAATAAATTAGTAAATATTTTTGTTTTTTTCTAATATCAACTATTTTTCTAATACTAAAAGTATGCAAATGTCTAATATCGCGTTCTCATATGTCTTCAACAAAAAGAATCGCTGAAACATAACATGCAATTTTGTTACTAACAGTTTTTTCTACATTCGCTATAATATTTTAGCTAAAAATAATAATAACATTTATAATACTTTCTTTGAAGAAGTTCAGGAGTTAAACAATGTGAACTTCTACATTGTTATTTATATTTGCTTTCGTTAAGACATTTAATATATTTTTAATTTTAGTTTGTTTAATTAATATTCTCGACGTATATACGAATAAATAGTTTCAATTTTCGCTTATGGTTTAAGCCGGTATTGTAGCTTCTTCATAAAAATCTGGTTCGTCTTGTTGTGATTTCTTCTCACTGCCATCCAACTAAAATGATTAAAAAATATTTTAATAATTTTTTTAAATTAAATTAATAATCACATATAAAACTTACCGCTTCCATTTCTTCCGGTTTATATAGAGCAGCTAGTCTTTGTCTAATTGGCACCATTAAAATCAAGAAGAAAGGAAAAGCCAATGATATTTTTGACGATTTTACTGCCCATAGTGTACTTAAGCAAATCACTTGAACAGTAGTGAATAAATGCATCTTCCATGTGGGCACACGTTTAACGTACGGCGTTGGTGGATAATGCTTCACAGGCACAAAGTAGAGTCTCACTCTGAAAGTGAATAAGAAAGATTAGATATAAACAAATATTATACAACAAATTAAATATTTTATTTAAATTGTACCTTTCAAAGAATTGTACGCCACTCATTGAAGCTATACCCATATAAAGAAATACACCGAATAGTACTGCCATTGGTATGAGTCGTAATAGTGGTGCCATTGTTACGGATAACCCAATCATTAAAGCCACAAAGAAACCGGATAAACGTTGTTCTTTCACATCAATAATACGTGCAGATTCACCAGGAGCATGAGTTCTGTAAAATAAGAGAAATAATAGTGTTATTAAACTAAAAAAAAAATTAGTGCGGATAATAATAATAATAACAAAATAAACGAGATACTGGCTCCAATTGAAGGAGATGTTAATCATTAACTGAAGTAAACTAGGTATGAATAATGAGATTAAAAACAAAAATAAATGGAGTACTCCAGCACTGCAATTACAGCACTGCAACTGCAGCTGATTTCGGTACGGATAATACGGATAACATTGTTTTGTGCAAATTATTTCTTTAAAAATTCTGTAAATTATTTAATAATTTATTGTTTTAATGACCAAAGGTTAAATAAAATCTTTTAAAAACAAAAACATAACTTTAATAATAATTTAAGCGTAATTACTGAAATAAATAATATTTAATTATAATTATATGGCTTTATATTTATCATATTTATTATTTATTATGGACTTAATATAATTTTGAATTAATTTATAAAAGATAGTATTATTCAATCTAGATATTAGCTTGATGATTATCTGATTATGAAATTTTAACTTAATTTAAAAAACAGAATATATAGATATTTGAATATACATATATATTATATATATATACAATACAAAAAAGAAATATATGCATAATATTTGTATAATAATAGTTGTACTTAAAACATATTTTAAACATACCTTGACATGATGGTTAAAGCAGAAACGTGTGCTACTGAACGTACTGTAGCCGCACAATGCCAAGGCATTCCACAGAATCCGCAAAAAGTGTTTAAGCATGACAATAAGACAATATCAAAATGAAGTCCAGAGCCCTTCTTTAAGCCGCGATCTGGTTTATCCACAATAAGTTCGGAGATGTGTGATTCCATGAAAATTAAAATGTAAACCAATAAAGCTGGTATACCAGCTAAAAATGGTATCCAAGTGGGTACATTTCCCAGTTCCACTAGCCAACTTGTGCGTTCTGGATTACTTGGTGAAATACCTTCGGGAACACTAAGTTTTTCTGTATATACCTGTGGTATAAAATAATCCATAGCAACAAACAAAGCAATCGCAATAGGTACACCAAAGTCACCGAGCGCACGACGTGCATTACGTCCCAAGAAATGAGAATTACGGAATAGTTTTAAGTAGTAAGCAACAGTAAATGTACCCAAAGTGAGTATTGTGCAAAATAAAGCTGTATTGGGCATATTAGTAGGGATTTTTGGTGGTTGTACAGGTAAACTTGTGTTTGATATTGTTTGGGCTGTCATATTGCTAAAGTGCATTGTTCCATTGCCCAAGTCTGTTAGATGATCAAAGTCGGTATGAGCTAGTGTAGGTGGTGGTAAATTATAATCAGCCAATAAGGGATTATTTTTGTATACGGAAACTAATTTCATTATAGTTTCTATAATATAAATCAATGTTATCAGAGCGGAGAATATTTCCTGTGTGAAACGTGTTAGTAAGCGAACGTAGACACTGCCTTCAAAAGCCGATACAACCATTGCAATAATGGCCAACCATATACCTATGTATGCGCGTATTGTTAGAAAATTAAAACCGTTTTCTTGACAGAAATTCATTAAAGCTTCATCGAACAATAATAGAGGACCAGTTGTGCCAATAATTACAAGTGGTTGTCCAGCTATGGAGTGGAAGATGACACCGCAAACTGATGCAGCCAAAAGTGTTTCTGAGATGCCAATTGAATTATGCGTTTTGTCGGAAACTAAACCACCAAAAGTAATAGCAGTTGATAAGCAAGCGAAATACATGAATATTGTAGCTGCTAAGGTTTCGGTATTTAAACCATCGAGTATATCAGATTTATACATAGGCAAACGTCGTTTGAGATCATTACGTAGGCCACCCCAAAGGCGATGAGTCTTTTCAAGTGGGTTGGGTTTCTTCTTTTCACCATCATCACTAATTTTCTTTTCAATCAGAATTTTAGATTCTTCTTGCGCTTTCTCCTTAAGTTCTTGTTTAACCTAAAAATAAATATTTTACGTTATATATATGTATATATAGAAATTAAAATCTATTTCTTATTGTTTTTTACCTGCAGTGCTTTAGTTTTACGTGAACGAATCCAATCCTTTTTGGCTTTCAATTCTTCGAATGGCAACAGATCATGACGATCCCAATTACCCGGTGGCAACACAATTGAATCATCTAAAAATTCATTTATGGCAGACAATAAATCTTTACGATCATCAGCCTTGTATGCTATATGATGAAATGGTTCGTTAGCCATTAAAGTAGCAATTGAACGACCAACTTCATGATAATCTAAGTCAAATGTAACTGGCCCCAGTAATATAAACATGAAACGTACTGGTACTGGCACTTCAGTAATATTTGGCATGAGCACACCTTCGGCCAAACGCACAAACGCGATTGTGGGTTGTGTAAGAAAGTCTACAGGACCAACCTAGTGACGAAATATATATAAAATTAAAATATATTTTTTTATAAATGAAATAAATGTTACTTACCAGTACAGTGGTGGCCTCTGCACCTGCAGGTATTCTCTTTAATATTGTATCATTTTGCAATTTTTTTAAGTCCTCTTGCGATGATGTGTAGATATCATCCTTCATGTCAATCTTTAAGTCGTTGCTCCGTTTGCTGCCACCAATTTCCATTGCAGGCATAATTTTAATTTTTTTGTCATCGCCCGATAAGTTCTATTAAAAATTAAAATATCGTTATATATCTCTTTAGTTATAAAATACTTAGGTAAAATTTAAAATAAGGATTTGAGGGATGTTTTTTTCTAGCCAATTATTAGAAATAGCATGCAAATTTGCATATAAACGCTTTTGAATAATGCACAAATATTATTTTTATATGTAGTCTGTACTCCACAAAAGCGTTTCACAACTGCCAATACACATATTTAGGAATAATAACGCATAAAAAATAATTAATAATAAATTAAATAACAAACAAAATAATTATTTTTTTTTGAGAGCTTACTTTTTATATTGAAAACATTTTATATGCATAAAAGCATAACTAACCCATATAGGAAAAATTGGTTTACAATCTTTGATTCAATTTGAATCGTGTTAAGAAATACCTTAAACTGAATAAAATATTTAATTAAGCAAAAAGTATTTTATTTGTGAAATAAGGACAAAATTACTTAATACCGTTAAAAGAACTTATGAAATGACCACAGACCACAACAGAGAGTATTAGAAGGAAATGGACTTAGTAGTCAAATTTTGCAGACACAATATGAACTGTGTACGGATGACCTTTGGTATTACATTATATGAAGTTCGAGTGTTTTTTTAACACATATATGAAATTGACACAAAACAAGTATTTTAGGACAAGTATTATTCTTATTATTTGACTGCAGTCAAAAATCACATATAATTGTGTGATTCTTCGCTATAACTTGTACACCTCCCTATAACGAGAGATAACTTCTTTTTTTAATGAATTGTGATAAAATAAGGTCCCACCGCTTTAGCTAATCGCAAAAGAATAACACTTACAAGGGATATTTATAATTTTGGTTTCCTTTCATATATCGGGGCTTTGAAAATAAATAATGGAAAAATAATGTAGTTAGGTTTAAGGGATAAGTATAGTACTTATCTATTTATGTATAGATTATAAACAAATGTTTAACAAGATTTAAAAATTACTAAAGCTTCTTATAACTTATAAGAAATACGGTTTGTCAAAATTTTGGCTACAGTGCTATGTCTATAATACAGAACAATGGGCTGAATACGGCATGGTGTGATATTCTTGACACATGAGTCACTTAATTTTTTGGATAGGAGCAAAACTAGTTTTATAAAGCTATATGAATCCTTCAATCTATTTATTATTTATTAATAATAATAAAAAGAGTGTGGCTTTTCAAGTTTGAGTGGCTCAAGTATCATATGGTACGATATTCTTGCAATATGATACGAAATATTTAGGACATACTCAAAAGTTTTGTTATTATGCTTTTTGAATACACAGTTCTAACTACTAATATTGAAAATTGAAACAATATAACCAATTTTTCGCAAGCCAAGTGTATGACACTTGTGATATCTTTGAAATACAAGATATTTATTCGTAATAGTTTGGACACGAACACAAATGTCCTTTGCTATGATTTTCTTGATATATGAGATAAAATATTTTTAATACAGACAAAAATTTTAGCACTACGTTCTATGAAGTATTTTGTTTTTAACAAGCCTTGGAAAGTAAGATAGGATATGATATGATATCTTTGAAATATAAGACATTTATTCCTAACATTGTGGACATGGCCAGAAAACGTTATAGTATGTAGTATGAATAATTCCGACATATATCATAATAACAGTTCAGTTTCCATAAACCAGAGATGATTTTGAAACTAAATATTCAGTATTCAGTCGTATATCCTCAAAATAATTTACTGATTATAGGGTATGTATTTTTTTGAAAAGTACTAAAGAGAAGAGTTATGAGAGAGAGAAAATTTATGAAGACTACTAGATATCTACCTTTGTATTGGACTAGAGGTGACCTAGTAAAATGGTTATATATATTAAAGTGTTTTTTTACTACACTTTATGGCATTGAGTTCAAAATTATTGAAATGCTTTAAAAATTTACATTATATAAAACTGTGTTTTTACTCCTTAATGAAAATCAAAGGGAGATGGGGAGGTTGATAATAACAAGGCTTGGAAATCTTGACACTTAATAAAAATAGAAAGTAGTTATGAATATTAAGTCAAACTTTTACCAAGGTTCAGATATCTTGTCACTTTTTTGGTATTGAGTCACAAATAAGATGAAAATATATTTGTGTGTACCGTAAGACAGTTTAATCATTGGATGACTATATACCTTCGGATTCTTAAATTTTTTAAATTTTTTTTATTAAATTTTTTTTAAAATTTAATTTTTATTTATTAAAAACTTAGTTTTCTTTTCGTTTGAGCACTTCATGAATCCGAAGGTGTATAATCGTCTATTGACTAAACTGTCTTACGGTACACACAAATCGAACTTTATCTTATTTGTGGCTCCATACCACCGAAGTGACAAGATATCTGAACCTTAATAAAAGGGCCTACCGTGTAGTGCATTATTTTATGCTTAATACAATATATCAGTTTACTTTCCATTCGTCCATTCTTCGGAAGGTTTAAAAATGGAACTAATAGATTATATCATAATTAATGAAATCAAAAATTGAAAATCATCATAAAAGGAAATCATTTTTAAAAAAATACGAAGCTGAAGCTATAACACAGCCAATCAACCACAACGAAAAAACACAAACAACATACACAAATTATTGAACAAATGAAAATACAAACAAAGAAAACAAAAAAAAAAGTAAAACCAAAAACAAATTAAATTGTAGCACAAATGAAGGTTAAACATTTACGCCCATATAAGACATTGTGGAATGTCTGCGATATGCAGACGCTGGACCAAGCAGTACTGATGGCGGCGGTGCACTCAAAGTTTCGCAAACAGAAAGACGTTTACTTGCGCGCAGTTTGCGATGTGGCGGTTGCAATAGTTGTTGTTGCTGTTGAAGCTGTTGGTGTAGTTGAAATGGCCCTTGTTGTTGTTGCTGTTGTGGTAATTGTTGCTGGTATTCATTTCCCATCCAAAGCAACTTTATTTGTTTTTTTTTGTTTTGGTTTGTTTTTTGATTTTTGCGAAATTAAAAAAGCAAACATAAATGTGCGTAATTATGTGTACCATTAAGCACACACACATACAAACATTTAAGGATATTCCACAGTCGGTGTGTGAGCGTGTATTTTTTAATGTGAGTGTGTATGTGTTTGTTCACATAAGTGTGATTTTATGCGTTCAATGTTCAATGTGCGTATGAGTAATTTTTATTTATTGCATTTTGTCGTAATTGTTTTTTTGCAATATTTTTTGTTTTTTATTTAATGTTTAATTTTTAATTAATTTTATGTTTATTAATAATTAAATGTTTGCAATTGCAAGTGTTTTTAATGACGAAAAGGAAAAAAGAAAAATACACAACATTGTAAACAAGAAGAGCAGAATAAAAGAGAAATTTACAATTTATAAACACACATAAAAATATATATATATATATATGTATATCGTTATGTAATCCTATGTATATACAAACACTTACTTAAATTATTTGTAAATATTTTCGTTAACACTGAAACAACCAATTCAATTAGGCTACACAGCCGTTAAAGGAAGACTTTCTGTGAGTAGCGAATTAAAACAGTTATTTTATCAATTTTTATTTATTGGGAAAAGTAATAAATATAATTATTAATTTTTTCCTAGGTTTTGTTATTGTTTAATGTCAGATAAGTTGGTACAAATTCACATTAAAATATATAGTAATCTCATATGGTATGTATCTATTGTAGCGTATTGTGATAAGTTTAATGTTAAGAAAGTTCGATAGAAAAACATAGAAATTTTTATTTTCCATTAAGTTATAAAACTTGTGTTAAGAAATCTTTGTTAAAAAAATTATGTTAAAAAACTTAACTCTCCTCGAGGGACGCTGTAACCACTAGAGGACGCGTCGCAAGGAGCGGATAGCGCATGCCTTTCCCGTTATCGAGTGGTAGGAGGGAAATAAAATACCTCCTGCACACCAAACAGTCGGAAAAAGGTCACTTCCTTAAAAACCCCTACCCGCAAATTACCCACTCGATATTTTGAGGTCGTAGATTGCGGATAGAGTTGTATGCTTAAACGGTCTGTAAAAGAAATGGCAGAGGAACCGTAAATGGTCAACGGCGACGCTCGTATACCTTTAAAAGAAGTACTGTTACAATATTTTCTGTCGGTCTGGAAGCAACAATTGGCAGCCCCAACACCAGAATCGGACCTACTAATTAACGAAATCGCAATATATAATATGAGGCTTTATGCTCCTGCTAAGAGTTAAAGGATTCAATATAAGAAACTTAAGTTATAAAAGTTTTGTTTAGTTAAAGGTTAATAAAGTTAAATCGAAAACATAGAAATTTCTATGTTTTGGTAAGGTAATGAAAATTATATTAAAAAAACTATGTTCAGAGGTTATGAGAAAATTAGTAATGTTAAGAAAAGGATTTACATTTTAACAATTTTTGAATAAAATCATCAGTTGAAATCTAACTCAGTGTTATAACTGATTCAGCAATGTTTTGATCTAATTATTCAGAAATTATCAAAATTATTACAGTAACCAACGAATTTAATATTAATGAACGAAAATGTGGCATCAAAACGGGAAAAAAAGTACTATATGGATTAACGGTTTGACTCGTCATTTGAACCAACCAACCAGCTATGGCTATCTTTATATACATTCAGGTAGCAATAAAGATATTTAAACCTGGAATGCTCAAAACAAAGATTGTTATGAAATGGCACTTCTAATCCCAGAGCATTGAGCGTTACAAAGTTCCACTTGATATTGATATAGAGGGGAATGAAATGAGATAGCCAAAAGAGGTTCTATAATTAACATAATGAACATCAAAACAAATCCTGATGTGTGAACTATTTAGGAGCATAGAAGCGCCATTATTGTGATATAGATGTTAAAAAACAAGGCAACTTTTGTTACATATATGAGTTCCTGCCAATCTGTAGGTCATAACCTTACTGAAGTGCAAGGCATTATGGTCTAATGTTTCAGCGGTAGTATATTCTAACAAACGGATTGTGCAGGAGATACTATAGGCGACGCAATTATAATATCTGATTTAAAACTGATTTAAACTGATTTATCATTAATCTGTCACAGATAATGAAGGTAGATCGGATCTTTATCGGATCTTCTTAATAACATTTAGAACAGTGTTTCTCAAGCGTCAGTACGGAAATCGATACATGTCCGTGCCATTAGCACAACCGGTATACCTAGTAACAATCTGTATTTTTCCCTTTAACGGTATTAAGTGTTTGATGTTGATTGTTTCAACAGATTATAAATATTTAGCTGGGCTTTGTAAGATACACTGCATATTTTTGGAATCTCAATACGTTTTGGGTTGAGAAACAATTGTTTAGAAGACTCAAAAGTTTAATAAGGATAAGTCAGGAAGTTGTAAAGGAAGCAACGGTTGTTGTTGTTGTTATTATTGTGACCCGCAGAGATTTATTAAGCGGTTAACTTGCATAGAATCTCAAAGATGAATACATATAGTACGATATGGATAGGTGATGGTAGAGTGAGACAGGAGGGTATTGTAAGAAGTAAGAAGTTCGAATGGTTTAAAGATGATTGCGAATTAAATTGAAGTTGAAGAAATTAAGGCGAAGAAACTTGACCTTTTTAATAAGGTAGGTCCAAAAATCGCTTAGACTCAACTTAGCGTGTGAATTAGGGAAAGCAATGCTTACTCTAGCTAACCTCTCCTTGTCACTTTTTCCCCAACAAAATGGGAAATAAACAAAGTACATATGTTACTATTTGTTGTAAAAGGCAATTACTTTACTACTTTACCCTACCTAATGTATAATAACTGTTCTGGCCATAATTTGGATCATTAAATAGTTAATATTTATTAAAATTTATTAGCTAGTAATCTATTTAATAGATTATAATTAATTAGTGCATTACTACATCTGTAGTAATGCCTAATACCAAGGTCAAATCATATAAATTTTTTATTATTTACTTATTATAATTAATTATTTTTATTTTTTATATAAAATATCAAACTGATATATGATAATTACAAACTGACCTATATTTGGTTGTTTCAGTGTTAAAAAAATTATATTTAACTATACAAGTTTATATTGTATGTACAATTACTATTATCAATAATATTCATTACTTATTAATATATAATAATTGTTAAATATAAATTATATACAAAACAATTAATTAAAATATATACTTTAGCATTATATTTATTTTTTTATAAATAAAACGTTGTATATGAATAAATGAATTAAATAATTTTTTATTTAATTATATAATTTATGAAAATTTTACTGTTCTTTTGATCGCTGTTGCTACTTTGTGATTCGGCAGTGGTGATTTCTTATGTTTAGAATATTTAATGGATGCATAGAGCCGCGTTTATAGTATATATGGTGGTAGTCGAAAGGAGGTTGGAATTTTTAAAATGTTCCAGTGGGTAGAGACATGAAAATAGTGAAAAAATATATGCAAAAAGAAACCAAGAAAATTAAACAAAAAGGCAAAAATAGTAATGAATAACCAAAATTTAAAATTTCAGAAATTTTGCTAATTTCGTAAATTCAATATAAATTATTTTAAACAAAAAATTATAATTGATATATAATCTTATAAGCATTAAGAGATATGTAGTTGTTGGCATAATAATTTAACAATTTTTAAAACAAATTAATATATATATCACGTAGTATGTTTATTCTGTCTATATGATTATTAAATTTTTATTATTATTAACAAACACATTTTTTGAAGAATTTAATAAAATTCGGCTGTATTTCACTGTTCAATACTATATATCATTACACCTAACTTATATTCAGTTAAGGTGTAACAAAAAATACACATAAAATATAATTAATAATAAACAAATAGCATTACTTTGTCTAATTTATTTATAACAAAATAAACACTCATTTAAAGTTATAATAATAATATACACATTTATCAAAGGATTTAATAGTATGTAGGGTGTTCGAAAAGGCTTGCGTATGAATTCTGAACATATCAAACATTGCCGAAATTATTTTTAAATATTTTTTATGGATCGAATATTTAAGTATCTCCTTGTGATGAAGTCTGTTGCAAATTTATTCCGATTTAGATTAATTTTACTAAGACTATGTTCTGTCATATGCAGTAGTAAAACATAAACATATTCGCGCCAGCTTAATTAGTGAAGACCATTCTGAAACACTTTACCAAAAAACAAAGAATGCATCAAATGATATTGCCTGATGGTCAATATCATTTAGAGAACCTGCTAAAGTTGTGGTAGTGGTGATACCACAACCATCCACATAACAGATAACATCAAAGAAATTCTAAATAAGTTTGCATGGGTTAGGATATGATTAGGTGAAGGAAGTGTTAAAGCAAGAGAGGACTGTTTTGGAAACGAGAGTAGATAGGGGATGAAAGAAGTTTTAATTAAGGCTAATCAAGGTCAAGGCGAAGTAACATTGACACTTCAATGACATGCGAGCCAAATATTATTTGGACTCAAGTTGATATATGCATGTGGACATGAAAATAGATAGACAATATCATGGGGAGTAAAGCTTTGTTCTGAGTACTTTCGCATTATATATGTAATATATATCCTGACCACAATTAGACTAGTACAGATTTTACTGCATGTGGAAGGCAGTAAATATTTTTTGCAAATATAAAGCTCTTGTTCCAACGAAACAATATTGTCGTTGTGGATAAAAGTCATGTACTGTTGTACCATTTCCTTTTTATACCAAATTTGGTTCCAATATTTGTCTAATTATTCCCGAAATTGATAGTGTAAAAATGTTCGTCATACGAGGGCAGTTTGATAAGTCAGTGACTTTTTGAATTTTCCGCGCAGTTACTCCAAATGCAACAGTTCAGTCGTCAGCTATAATCTACCAGTTGGCAACTTTCTAATTTTCAGCAAGCTACGTCGTTCAGTTGGTGTTTGATAGCCGTTCAAAGTAGACAACCTCGTGAATTTTTACGAAAATTTGAAAAAGTGAATTTCGTGTGCTGATTAAACATTACTGGTCAAAATCCACGAATTGGGATACGAACTGCCACTCCCTCCAGCATATTCTCCAGACTTAGCCCTTTGCGACCATTTTCTCTTTACAAATCTAAAGAAATGGCTGGGCGGTAAGAGATTTGAGTCGAATGAAGAAGTCATTACCGAAACAAACGCTTATTTTGAGAGCTTTGAGAAAACCTGTTATTTGGAGGGAATAAGAAAATTAGAAAAACGCTGGACTAAATGTATCGAGCTAATAGGTGATTATGTAGAAAAATAAAATGTTTATTTGCCGAAAAAAATTTGTTTTATTCAAAAAGTCACTGACTTATCAAACCGCTCTCGTGTTAAAAGGTTGTATTGCAAAGTTTTTGATACAATGCACAATTATGCGGAAATAAAGAAGTTGCAGCATACTTGAGATAAGGGTACCGAATAAAGAAGAGAATAAATTGAAAAATAAACAACAATAAGCAAAGAGTAATGTTTTTCTATGTTAGATACAGAACTTTACGAACACCCCACATACAATAATTACTTTAGTTAATAAGATTTTGTAATATATTTTTTACTTTAATTTATTTTATTAAACAATTACATTTAATATAATTTTTATTTGATTGTTTCAAAAATAATAGCTTTTAATATACAATATATGCGATACTTAAATTTATTTAATTTAACAACACTAATTTATTTACAATTTTTTAACTGGCTTTTAGTTTTAAATAATGACTCAATTATCAATTATATTTGCATAAGTATTTATTAAAACCCAAAAAAAAAACAATACAAAAAAGCACAATAAAAATATTTATTTACAAATATCATAAAGGACTTACAAAACCACTGATTCATATGTTATATGTAAAAGCCAATATTTAAAAGCCAATATACAATTTTTTAATAAAACGTAAATGCATTAATGAGTATGCAAAATATTTTCTATAAATAATGTTAATTTAAAGGACATTGATTGTAATATAACAATAATATTCTATAATGAAATCAGTGTTCATGGAGATCGATTAAAATTAGTTTGATAAGAAAATAATTGCAAATTAAGCTTATTATATGCCAATTCAATCAAAACATATTTTTAAAATTTTATAACGCCATAATAAATGCAATTTACATAATGTATAAATGTAAACATGATAATTTAATTCAAAATGTTGAGTAAAATAATGATTTTAATAAATTATATTAAAAAAAATTTACCTGTAAACTGGTGTAGCTGTTGTACTTTCTTTTGGTAAATGGAAAAGCGCTCTGATACTCATTCACATGTCTATGCCTTAAAAGCAAAGAACGCATCACCGCCGGCTTATCACTTGAGCTAATCAATTCATCTATAACCATCTAAAAATATTTCAATTGAAATAATATTGTTTTAATATACAACATACACAGTAGCTTACGAGATATATATTTATTAATAAATATTATAAAAAAATATAATAAATTTTTTACTATCACTAACCTGCTCTACAACACGATAAGCAACAGCGGGCAAGTCCTTTTCATTTAAGTCAAGTAATACAACACCAGTCTCCAAGCAACGGCGTAAATTAAGCAAGGAGTGAAATGAGAGTGAGGCAACGTGTGGTTTACCCCAACGATCAGAACCTTCTTGTACATCTTCTTCATATTTGATCCAACGTGCTGTTTCTTTCCATTCACGATCTTCAGCAACACCGGTGAGTTCATTGAGTTGTACGAAAGTCTAAAAAATTTTTTCATTATATGATTTATTTTTACTTATATTTATATATATGTATGTATATATGGATATATATTTTACCTCATGTGGGCTATGATCGAAGGCCTTCTTGGTTTGTAAAGCAGCGACACTGATTTGTGGTAATTCACGCAATTTAATGGAATTGTGATGAATTTTGTGTCGCCGCAAAGCACGTGGATCATCTGAACGATGCGACCTCAACTCGTTGAGATCAGCCTCCTATTTTTAATCAATAAAAAAAATCGATTTTAATATATATATATAAAAGGTTTTACGTAAGTATGATATAACAAGATTTAAAATATGTCAGAATTTGTTAAGACACCTTACAGTATTTTTAAACTATATAGTATACTATACTGTCACATTAAACATTATGTTTACAATCATACTGTTTTCTTAATGAACACCGATTACGGATTATAAACATGAATATATTTATTTAATTATATATATATCTTCATTCTTCTTCTTCTTGAGTTAGTGCTATTACGCACTTTTACTCTATAATGGCTGGGGGGCTTATCTCTACCCCACACTAGGCTTTAACTAGGCTAAAAAAAAAACATCATTTATTTGTCTTTTAGTTGATGACGGACCTTAAATCAGCATATCTTCCTGAGAGTCCAGAAGTGGACGGGGTTAATTAGCGTATCAACTTTAAGTGAATAATTTTAGAGCTCTGTCTCTGATATATTTTTTCACTAAGTCAATCCTAAGATCTCTATGTATGTCTGTTGATCTAATATACCATGGAATCTTAAACAGATTTCTTAAAGCCAGGTTTTGAGCTATCTGTAATTGCTTTAAGGTAGTATTTGAGGCTTTGCTATATGTAACACATCCGTACAGTAGTGCAGGTCTAATTACTTGCGTATAAAGTTACTTTCTGTTTTTAAAGTTGAAGTGATAATTATTAAATAGCGGCTTTAATAAATGTAGAAGCTTAGAGCAGCTATTCCGTTTGTATTTCAAATGTTTAAGCCAATTGAACCGTTTGTCAAAAGTGAACCCCAGATATTTTATGTTATCCTCCCACTGTATCTCCGTGTCGCAAACACTCACTCTTGGAGGATGCTGTCTTCTTTTTCGAGTTATATATATATTGATTAAGAATTATATTAACAAATCAAAGACATATAAAAATTAAAAAATACACACATTTAAAGTAAACAAGACTTCTTACAAATATTATTATTATTGAAGTTGAGGTATTTTGCAATGCAAACCATTAATCTATTGTGTCAACTTCACATTATCAGAGTACTTCTCTAAGTCCGATGTGCTCGATAAATATTGTACAATCGCATGTGAGTTTAAGATTGTTGGCCAGCATGCATTTCTTTTGTTATTACATCAGTGCCAAGCAAACTCCAAGAATATGTTTTGAGACCTCATTCTCCTTTCTACAACACTACTAATTCAATTACAGCAAGTTCATCATTTTCTCGGATCTTAATTTAAACTACAGTCCCTAAAACTACTAATTGCTAATTGAGTTAATTTAATTGAAAGATCCTATAAACAATTACTATTGTGATAGCTCTGGTTAGTCGTTCCAATATAGTTTTCTCTTTTTCACCTCTCTTCCTTTTTATCCTACACCTCTTTACCGGAATTTCAAGCATGACCTGGAACCCATTGTATCCTTACTTGATTATTTGACCAAGAATATATAGCTTTAAAGATACTCCATCAGCAGTCTTCATAAAAGATGAGAATATTTTTTACTGCTTGGCTATTAGATTGGATGGCTATATAATTTTATGATTTTAATACCTGTATCCAAGGTTGAAATAAACACATCTGCGTTTATAAAAAAATACTTTATTTTACTGTTATATTTTAGGCTATTTATTAAGCATATAATAGATTACTAACTCAGAAACTCTATACAGCTATTCAATAGTTTCAAAATACGTTGATTGGTAGTTACTGGTAGTCAAGATATTTCAAATGAAGTGGGAACAAGTCTTTTAAATGACTTCTTTTCATCATGGAGTGAATTTTTCCAAAAAAGTTATAAGTTGCCGGGCACTAATTCAGTTGAATCTGGGAGGGGTTGGCCTTACTGATACATATAAGACCAATACGTAGTCTCACTACAAGTACACATTTTTAAAATGTCTACTTTGCTTTCAAACATACGTTACGTATCTTGCATTTTTTTTTTGTAATTAAAGATACCAAAAGAAAATAAAATATAATGTTTCAATTTCTATAAATCTTTAAATTATTTATATAAACCGTAATCAGTATAATAAATAATCATTAACAGTTAACTTTAAAAAATGTGCTAATATAATTAATATCTGAAAAACTTTACAAAATAATATTTTTTTTTTTATTTTTTTTTTTAAATTAAAATTAATTCAATTAGTTAAACTTTAGTTCTGACTATTTTAAATCTATAAAACATATTAATAAAACCGAATATAAAATGGATATTAATATGATTAGTATTATATAAACAACCTGTGAAGCTTCTAGATGAGCCTATATTGTTAGCATAAATTTTTAAAATACAAGCAAAGGAAAGGATATATGAACATATAATTAAAATGCATATTATTAATAAACTAATGCAAAATTAACTTAAAATCTTTATTAGTACAAAACAAACACAAACCTCCAACGTGGTATCTTCAGGTTGCACAGATACCTTCCGTACTCCGGCATCGCCGTTTTCTTCGGTTGGTTTTTTGCTATCCACGCTTTCTTGATGTGAAAATTTGCGTTGTCTATAATACTGATGACGGCTAAAATAACGAAAGGAAAATCAACTATTTAATATTATGACAAATTAAAGAGGCTTCAATACACATTAAATAGGTTCTGATACAAATTATCTATCATTTACACTCCTTCCAGCTACCTTCTACTTTCAAATTTTGGGTTTTAACATTATATTCAAGAATCAAAATCGTTAATCACTTTTAAATTGTAAACAGATCCACGTATATAGTTTATTCGGGGCGATATATAAAATAGGTCGAAAACTAAGAAACTAATTTAATTATAGACAGACTGAAATTTTGTATCAGTGCGATGCGCCTATATATAGTCTATAAACTGCTATCAAATATTATATTTTATCTAAGAACTCATACCTACATTCTAATTTCAAGGAATAAATTTTATATATTCGTACCTTTTTCGACGTTTTCTCTCGTGTATATTATCGTTAGGTTGATCATCATAACCTAAACTAGGTGGGGTAACAACGGCCTTCTTTTGACCAAACTGCACATGTTTTTCGTCAGCAGAATTATCCTAAATAATACAATTAACATTAATTTAAGTTGAAATATTGTTATAATATGAATTTGTTTACTGAATGATCTCCATGTCCTGCACGTTCAGAAACTAATGGACAATCTTCTGGAATGTCATCGTAATTTTGTTGATTCACAGGATCGTTTTGACTTTCATATTCTGAGTCTTCTTCAATATTAAGATCACCTTGGGTATTACGACGAACTAAAATAAATTTAAATAATTAAATTAATGCAACAAATACACAAATGAAAAATATTTAATAGATTTTGCACACTTGATTAAATTATTGAATAATAAGTTTACATACACATACAAATAGATGTAGAAAAAAATATCATAATAAAATATATTATATATAAATCAGTATTTATTATTATCATTATCAGTCAGTATATATTTTTAACTGTCAAGTAATTTGCATTTAAATAATAATTTAACTTACTATTTTTTTGTTTAAAAGAACCGATGGGAATACTCGAATCTTGAAATGTAGTTACATCAAATTTCTCTTTTTGTGTTGTTGGACCGGCGAAAACTTTTTCCATTTCCGAATCCAGTAGCACCTCGTTTGGGTCTTCATTTCCGGTGGACTAAAAATTTAGAAAATTTAAAAATTAATACGATTAGAACAAAAATATATTTTATTAAATGAATTATAAGTTTTTGAAAAAATTGACAGAAAAGAAGTTGATAAAAATTTTTTTTTATAATCTATATATACAAATATACATATATAAGGAAGAAGTGGGACTATAATTAATATCAAAAAGTTGTGCAAATTTTATATGTAAATTTCCAAAAATGGAGATATATATTATTGAATAGAATTTATAATTAATTATTAATTTTTTTTTGTTTAAAGCATATAAGACATATATGACATATTGCTAGCCACAACTTCTTGGTTAGCTCTAGGTCAAATTATATTATTTGAATCGCAATCAATTCGAGTTTGCGATTAATCTTTTTAAACCACTAAACAAATAATTCCTATGTGCTATATAAAGAGTATGACATGTTGAGGTTATCATGGAATTGTTTTATCTTTCAGTGGATCCAGTAAGTTTGAACTTCAAACATTATTATTTTAAAGTGTACCAGGTCTAATGTTTCTGTTGACATAAATTTGTTCTGGCCATACTTATGTGGGTTATAATTTTAGCTGCCAATTTCAAAATTTGATAAAATGAAATTTGTTTAGAAAAAAAAGTTAGAAATTATTTGGTAGAAATCACATGATCAGCGTTGGTTACTTGTAACCAATCTTTCCCAATCAATACATATCGCATAATTAATTCCATGCGGGTTCATTAGACTTTTTTCTGTGAGTTTAGACGAGGAATCCGATACTTCTCAAGCTTTCGACGCTTTCAAAATATTCTTGCGTCAAGTTATCGCTGATCCTTTCTACTGTTAGATGTGCTGTGGTGATGTTGTTTTTGGCACTTTATATCAAGTTGCAAAAAATATATTAAATTAAAAATTATATCAAAATCTGAATTAGAAGATACTTTTATTTTTGTTTACTTTTAGCCCATAAAATGAATAACCACGCCTTAGATAAGAGCTGATAAAGGTTTCTGAAGTTGTTTTAAGAACTTTAGTAATACAAGCTCTGCATCATAGCAGAATCTGTTCAATATGACTTTTACAGAATTCTAGTTTATGATAATACCTAGGTTCCCTACGCCTAAAGTTTATAAATAAATGCATTCTTTATGAAAAGTTATCCAATATGAAAACGGAATTTCAGCTACAAAAATAGGTTTTACATAAAATTCAAAAGATTTCCAAATATTTTACTTACATATTGATTTATATACTTATGCATTACATACTATTTTTTTTAAATATTCGTTACTCCATTTATAAGAGATTTATAATAGAGCATTTATAATAGAGCATTCACATATAATATATCACATTTCCATATTCTGAGTTATTCTGCGTAGAGTAGAGTAAATACAGAATGAATGCAGTCATTATTCTTTGAATTTTTATATAACATAAACAATGCATAAAAAATTTAATAAAAAATAATAAAAAAATATACTGCATTTTTATTGCATTTGACGTCATTAAAGTCACATGACTATTGTTTACAAACTGGCATATCGCACAGTTTGGCAACTTTTTATGATTTTTATATTGACATTCAATTAATAGTCGTCTCGGATATGTTTTCGTTTTCAATAATTTTACAGATGCCTTTTATCATAAAATGTAATAAATATTTATATACTTTTGTAAAAAAATAAGTCAATTCACTCAAAATAAAATACTGTAAGATCATTTAGGCAATTGTGAGTGTTAAATGATTGCAACATTTGACTTTATTTTCATATTTTACTGACAGCAGTAATTTATTTTAATAAAATTTTATTAAAAAATTACAAAATTGATATTATACTCTAATTAAAAGAATTTAAATTTATCAGATATTTAAGAAAATTTATGGTGTAATAATGAAAGACAATTGCAATAACGATGTACACATTCTAGTCATATGGAATAGACTGGTAGTTGGAAGTTTATAATTAATAAATTATGAAAAATATAAAAATTTATATTATAAAAAAAAAATAATAATAGTGAAGAAGTTATAATTATAACAAGAAGTAACAATAATAAATAAAAAGAACAATTAAAACTAGAAATCTATATTGGATTAGGTAATTTGTGGAGCAATCACCACTAAACCTGAAAAATAGATCATTATGTTCTTTAGATGAAGCAATGTCTTACCAACATAGAATCAATGAAAAGTATTACTTTATGCAATTATCTTAAGAGAAGAGACACATTTCAATTTTTTTTTCTATTAATTCTACTCATTTAATTGCAACATGACTGTATACATATTAATAGTCCACCAAATATTGATAAATATTTTCCGATATCAAACATATTACTGGATCTTTAGTCGAGATGAATGTTTAGATAATTCGATCCGCCATAATCCTGCCATAATGCGAATGCGATATTTTATGCAATTTTCTTATAAAAGAAGAGAAACATTCTGTTTTTTTCTTTCTAATAATTCTAATGACTTGATTTCAACATGACTGTATATATATTAATACACCACCAAATATTGATAAATATTTTCTGATATCCAACCTATTGCTGGATCTTCAGCCATGATTTATAGTCAATAAAATCGATCATTCATGTCAAATTTTTAGAAAAGATTGCCTACGATGGTGATTGGTGGTAGGCCATCAGATAACTTTCCCTGTACCTCATCAGTTAGCTATTTTTCGCCGTTTTACTACCACATTCCTCGCAAGAACCCTGATATAGAAGAGTAAAGACGAAATCCATCCCGCCGAATTTAAATAATTTAATAGATATTTCGTCTTCACAGATGAACAGTATGATAAATTGTCAAAGAAGTATCTTCCTAAGAACCTATATCTTCTGGACGCCAAATCCAAGCATTTACAGAGTAAATGTATTATGGTTTCTTTTTGCTGCGGGTTTCCACAACTTCTGCAGTGTGGATCATGAGTAATGCACAGTTTCTCTGCATGGGTTTCTATACACCAATGAACAGAAAGAACTGCAGTAAACCTTGTAGTGTTCACCCGACTCCCATTGCTTATTTCTAGAATTTCTTTTTCTGATCCTTTTACGAAGATATTGGGTTTGCATTTAAACATTTGTTAATTTGTTTTTCTATATAAATGGATGGATATTATATATTTTAGTGATGGCTTACATATAAAATTGTGAATTTGTTAATTTAGGTGATGGTTTCCATTCGTTCATTTGTGCTTTCCTCCCTGCTGGGGATAATGGTGTTGCATAATCTAATAAGTATGAGTGAAGCTCTATAAAGGTTGCGGTTTTTATAAATTTGGATTTGGATCGATACATGAATATTAGGTGAATCACTTCATCGTTCTGCTTCAATGAGATTTACTACAGCTTTTAGTGTGAGTGCATTTGGCACAATTTCTGTAAATGGTATATTTAGTAGTTAATCCAGGGTGTCATTTCTTCAGTGATACATATTTCGCTGCTTGTTGAAAATTTTGTTAATTAATATTACATATTATAACAATCGTGTACACTGACAGACGTAAGAGAGAGTTTTGAGAGTTTTTGGAGTTGACAGTAACTTTCATTAATAAAGATTTTCACTGTTCGATCAAATTTTCTGAATGCATTGGTCGTGATGTCACTATTTAACAAGGAAACTGATTTTATTTTATAACATTCAAAATAAATTCATAATTCTGTTCTAATAAATTTAACAATATCAATAGAGATTTGAGTTGCTTTATTATTTATTATATTATACTACATAGAGTATTATTCTATAAATGTATATTAATGAACAAGAAATTAGTTTGGATTACTGTATAAAAGTATATTTAGTTTATTGACATGATTTAATGTAAATTCAATACAATCTTTAATATAGTTTAGAAACACAAGGCCTCAAACTTTTGTATGTGTAATTCAAAACGTACTCACTTCAAGTGCAAATTAAATACCAAATTTCTCAAATTTAATACTTAAATTTAATACTTGCACAAATTAGCAGATACTTTAAGTATTAGCTTTTAGAAACGTAAATACAAAACATTGCTCAAAGAAAAGAAAATATATTAAATGAACCGACAGACAGACAACGCCTTAAAACAAAGCTGGCCAATTTTAGAAAAAAAAGAAAATCCAGAAACAAACGAGCTGTGTTAAAACGTCTGTAATTTTCTAATTCTTTGATTTTTTCTCTATTTTGTTTTGGTTTCTGGTATATATGTCTGCCCCTGAGTATGGAGCGCTACAGAGGGCTGACTAATGTCATGCAGCACGACTGTTGACATGTCAATAATACAGCAGAATACGAGTATGTACAAGCATTTGCAAGTGTTTATGTCACGTGCTTAATGAAAATATTGTGTTTAGGGGAAAAATATTACAAGAAAATCGAAGAAATGGAAAGAAAATGTATTAAAATTAATATGAAAAATTGTGAAAAAGAATTTTATAAAAATAATATTAAAAGAAATCGAAGGTGTAGGTGAAAAGAATACAAATATATAAGCATTTTCAATGTTAAAACTTGTCACTTGCAGTCATAACTGATTTTCAGATTTCAAGAGCGAAAAGGACCCAGCCCATTAAAAATCCATTTTGTAATTTTATTGAACAGAAACATAAGCATTTTATATAAAATTTTATTTCTTTTTTTACTCAGTTTTCATTCAATATAATATTTCCTTTTTTTTTTGTTTATTTAATTATACTGTCAACCGCAGTATCTCTTTATAATGTAGCATAATTTTTTATATCCCAAAAATTAATGTTGCATGCAACAAATTTTTCACGACTTTTTATGATTAGTCATTTGTTTTAGCTTATGTTTTTTATGAAAAGGACTCAGGTTTGCCATAAATTTACTTTCTCATTGCTTTTATTATAAGCCGAACACTTCAACTTAATAATAAACTGAACATATTTTACAGGGTATATCGAGATTTTATTCAATGCTTTGACAGGAAATGGTAGAAAGTAATTTTATATAAATTTTATGTTATTACTAATAAAATTTTAAACAAAAAATAATTGAATTTTTTGTATGGTTTTAATACATTGAATGTATATAGATTATTATATAGAATTTTTAAAAATTTTCTCTAATATAAAAATTTATCGTAATAATAACAATCTAATAAAATTAAGAATCGTTATTATTATTTCTATTTCATACATAAACTCAAAAATCTGAGACACACCATACTTTCAACGAACATTTAAAAAAAGGAATTGACCAAATTGGTCCAGGCGTCGTAACATACATAGATACAATTAACAAGGTAAGTGTACTAAAAAAAAGAAACAAGTCTCAGAACTCACTTTATATAAAGCCATTTTAGTTGGGAATGAAAGTAGTATGAAATTCGAAACGCAGAATTGTGTGCAGAAATTGCAATAGTATTGTAAAGATCTTCATTTATGGAAATTACTAAAACATACCTAAAATTATTTTCAGTCCATGATGAGTCCATGGTAATAGCGAGAAATTTTCTTTTCCACCATTTAAAAATAAAAAAAATCAATTTATTTCATATTTAATTATTCAAAACATAAAAAGGTTTACACAAGAGCTGTTATTAAAACACGTTTAGTAAGTGAGAACACCACTTTTCATTAAAACACATTTAAGGTGTTTAATATGCAAGTAATGACATAATATTAATTTGTTACTTTAGGTACCGGTATTTAAAATAATTATTACTACAATAAAACCAATTAAATATTGTTTTATCTAAAATTAATAATCGAAGTCGTAAACTTACTTGTATTTGCAATAAATAATCACACCCTGTTTATATGATATATACATATTTTTTACAGCACAGTAAAATTATTATTTCGCGGCCATGAGTTGTCAAAAACACTTTTATTATCATTTCATTTTTATTTGGTTAATTTGACAAAATGTATCAAAAATGAAAAATGAGAAAGTGTTTTATTGTTTAAATAAAAATATTGAATTATGGTAACCTTAAGAGGATAATACCAAATACGCATATTGTTTTAGTTCATAAAAGTAAACTAAAAA